CCAGCGTATTTTTAGAAAGCTTGAAAGGACAGCTTCGTGCCATAATCTCCCATTTGTGTATAGCTAGCTCTAGTGAATCCCTTCTTTTTTGATATTTCATGGGATGTATTTACACAGCTGGTCCTTCTCTGCAACTTTCAGTGTGCGGAGCCTACAAACGGCAAAACTTTCCAACAGGAGGGGAGGAGAAAATAGGCGTCCTGCGAATTGCAATACCAAAGCTTTTTTTTTTTTTTTCCCCTGGCTTGCGAAATGGCACCCACCTCAATCTCTTTCGCCCCCTTCAGCACTCTTTCTGTTGAAAGAAAGCTGTTTTTTTTTTACAAAGGAATCGCTGGAGCACCTTATTTATATTGAAATGACAAAAGTAGCGTGCTCTATGTTAAAAATCAATATAAGGAGTCGATTAAAACGACTGTGGACTCTTTGTGCTGGGGTGACACCAGCAGCTGGGTTATCCATCTCTTGAGCCATGAGATCTGAGGAAACCTTTCAGCAAAGTTGCTCAGTCTCCTACAGTCCCTGTGTCAAAACATGGAAGAAGCTGAAAGAAGGCCTGAGAGAGCCAATCTGGTCTACCGGCAGCCAGGCTAGAAGCTAGAAAGCAGGAGGCTGTGAGTTCTAGGTCCACCTTAGGCATGGAAGGCAGCTTGGTGACTTTAGGCCAATCTCTAGGAGACTGTGAATTCTAGTCACTGGTGCGATCCAACCGGTGTAACAGTTGGTTTGGTGAGCGAGTGCTTTGTGTGTGCGCATGCAGCATTTAATTAAGGCCAATTTTCAGCTCTAATACTTCCTTCTACTGCAGCCCCTGTGAATGAAACAGCTGAGCTCAAAAACAGAGAAATAAAGCACAGGAAAGGGCAGGGGCCGGTGGGCAGGGCCAAATCATCACTGGGACTACCGGTTCGCTTGAACTGGTCTGAAACAGAAGAATCCCACCACTGGTTCTAGTCCTGCCTTAGCTATATAAAAATTATCTGGGCGACTTTAGGAGATTGAGAGTTCTAGTTCCACTTTGGGCATAATATTATCTCATTTTGACTCAGATCTGCACATCAGCCTTGCCTCAACAGACATCCTCCAGCTATTTGAGACCGTTGCTCCCATCATTCCCAACCAGCTTGTCTGAGGATCCCACAGTCTCACGCAATTCAATAAAGCTGGGTGGTGGCTCAGTTTCAGTCATTTTCAATTCAGTGGAATGCAACCCTATCTCATTCCCTGTATGTTGTAAGTTGACATATATGACACATACTGTACTTGCGAGCAGTGGTGGGATTCAGCCTTTTTTTACTACTGGTTCTATGGGAGTGCGCTTTTTGCGCGAGCGCAGCATTAAAAAACCCCCGATTTTAAGCTTCAAAACTTACCTTCTGTTCAGCACTGGAGAATAAAACAGCTGAGGCGCGGAAATCCGCTCTGCTGCACGAATCAGTTGAGCTGAAAAACAAGGAAATATAGGACAGGAAAGGGCGGGTGGTGCCTCAACGGAGCTACCTGTTCGCTAGAACCGGTGCAAACCGGCAGCATCCCACCACTGCTTGAAAGTGTGTATGTGTGTGCATACGTTGTATGTGTATGTGTGTGTGTGTGTGTATAGCTAAAGCAATAGCCCGGAGCAGCTCACGTTATTATTATTTTTTTTACTTTGCATTGTATAATCTGCATTTTGAAATGAATCCATTCTTTGTTAGTACCGGGACTAAGAAACTATGCAGGGCGATGAATTCTTGGAAACTCAGTTACTGATAATCTGGCTCAGCCTTTTCCTGAGCTTCCTATGGACTTTCATGCCCCCTTTGGTAACAATTTCTAGATTAAGAAACCTCTTGTGTTTTCCTAAAGGAAAACTGAGCAAAGTGATTTTCTATGTAGTACTCTGTTCTCCTTGAGAATTATGTTCATAAATGGCTGCCTTTCTTCCTGACTTCACAAGCTATAAAAAAAGATTGGCTCCCTGGGACCCAGTTTCTCCATTAATGGCCAGCCCTAATAATTGGCATAACATCACCCCAAAGATTTACCTGGAACCTGCTTTCGTGATCTCCTTGGACCCTAGAAAAGCCATTTGCGTTCCCCAGTTTTCTTTTCTTTTTTTATTTATATTTTTTCTTGTTTTTTATAAACATATCATTGTGTGAACAGTGTGGGACCAGACTGTCTTACATTTTAGAACAAATATGACCAATATTCTTCATATTTAATGCAGTTGATAATCCTAATACTGATAAACATATTTTGTTAAATTGCAATCTTTCGTTCTTTGATTATTCACTGTTTTAATATCTTATTTTTGTGTCGATCTCCTTATTCTGAATATCCCTCTTTTAACTACAAATAAAATATTGTTAATCATATTTATATGGTGCTTAACAGACTTATATAATTATAATAAAAATTCACCAACTTATATTAGGTTATAATCTCCGGTTTTCTTAATCATCCCTTGTGCTTTCGCTGTTTTAAATACTTAACAACCATTTGTTTAGTGACAAAGTTACAACAGAAAAAAAGGTACATATGATCTTGCGACGGTTGCAGCATCCCCATGGTCACGTGATCGACATTCAAAGGCTTAAAAACTGGCCTGTATTTCTGACGGTTATCGTGTCCTGGGATCACGGTAACCCCCTTTTGTGAACTCAAAGTCAAAAGGGAAACCAGATTTACTGAACAGTGTTACTAACTTAAGAACTGCAGGGATTCACTTAACAACTGTGGCAGGAAAGGTTGCCAAATGGGAAAAAACTCACTTAACAACTGCCTTGCTTAGCAACATAAATTTTGGGCACAATTGTGGTTGTAAGTCCAGGGCTACCTGTGTTGCCATTTTCAAATGCATTGTTGTCATTTTGCCCTAGCATTTTTAGGGTGACAGTTTTTAATCTCTATTTTTATCATTCGTTTTGGATTATTTGCATTTTGCTTTGCTTTCTTTTTACCTTTGAAAAAAGTAACCCACAAGGACTTTTTTTTTCTTTCTGATCCTATCAACTTAATAAATCCCAGCAAGCTTTCTGACAGCAGAGCTAAATCTCCTGGCTTTCTCTTTCAGGACCAGCCCTCCTTACTGCTGCGTGGATCTCCATTCTTTGAGAACAGGGGAAGTAGTCAAATCCGTGCAGTTCAAAACACCTATTTATGATCTCCACTGCAACAGAAGGTAAAAATTCCTTTTGATCTGCAAATACCTCTCCCCTCCAGTGTTTTTAAAGCTTTCAGCCTTGAGTGCAGTCACTTCATGTTGTTTCAACTACCTGGATTGAATGTGGCTAGAAGATGCGGCAGCTATTGTGTGGGCGGGGGGGGCAGTGTGGCTTGTTTTATGCATAAATCTATTTAAATGAAAAGGCAGGGGAAAAAAGCCCTGTCATCTCAAAAAGATGTTGAGATTTTGGGAAAAGTGCAAAGAAGTGCAACTAAGATGATTAAAAGCCTGGAGATAAAAACGGTTTCGAGAATTGGGTATGGCCAGTCCAAAGAAAAGAAGGACTAGGGATGACATGATGGAGTCAGTATTTGAGAGGCTGCCACCAAGAAGAGAGGGTCAGCTTGTTTTCCAAAGCACCAGAAGGCAACACAAGAAGCAACGAATGGAAACTAATCAAGGAGAGAAGCAACCTGGAACTAAGGAGAAACTTTCTAACAGTGAGGACAATTAACCAGTGGAACAACATGCCACCAGAAGTTGTGGGTGCTCCATCACTGGAGGTTTTTAAGAAGAGACTGGACAGCCACCAGTCTGAAATATTATAGGGTGTCCTGCCTGAGCAGGGGGTTGAACTGTCCCTTCCAGTCTATTCTGATTGATTGATCTCAATATGCTGGCTGGGGAATTTTGGCAGTTGGTCCACCAGTCTTAAAGTTGCCAAGTTTGGGGACTCCTGGCCAAAAGGGAACAGATTTAAGTATGGAATAAGGGGCATATTTGAGAGAGGCACAACACGCTTTAGCTCCCAGGCACATTCTTATGCAGATCTTTTATTTGCAAAATATCTCCTTCGCTCCTCTGGTTTAAAAGATCAGGTTGGAAATGATGGGAAGAGTTTTCCTCTGCCTAAGAGTTGAGAAAGATGGCTTGAGGACAGATATTATGGACTCAAAATGGTGAATAGCCCAGTTCTGCTATAAAGCCATTTCCTCTGTTCCTGGGACAGACAAAAGGGAAATATTTTTCTCCCAGGAGAAATTCTCTAAAGAGCAAAATGGGTTGAAAGACTGTGGATATAAACGAGATGTGTATTCTGAGTGGCGGAAAAGGAGGGTCTCTTGTTCAGAGAACCCCTCAAACCCCCGCTCCCCATTGTCTCCCCCTCCTCCTTGAGATTTTGTTTGGTACATTTTTGTCTTCGTATTTCATGTCCTGGTAATTACATAAAGTGATTTTCCCCCCCTCTCCTCCTCTTAATTCCATTGTATGGAAGGCAGCGGAGGTCAAAGCAAGGAAAAACACTTTTAGCAAATAAGGCCTGGCTATTAGGCCCAGCAGATTTGCAATAAAAAAAACCCCCAGCAATATGATTATTTTTGAGGATGAAACACTTTTCAGATTAATATACTGGGTGCTTTTGATGGATTTTTCAATCTGAACTGCTGGGGCAAATGAATGTTTTAAAAAAATTACATGAGGTATAATGCCAGTTCTGTTAACAAGGTACGATCTTACTTGACCACCCCCCTTCCTCCCCCCTCCGCCTTCATGGATGCCCTAATTGTTTCCCTTTTCATGAATATTGAAAACATGTCCTGCTACACATCTGAAAGTTTCACTCTGTCGAATCTGTTGTTGGCCACGACATACAACTTTGCTGACTGACCCTTATTGTTCAAGACCACTGAGTAGGATATAAAAGAAAGAATAAAAGGGAAGGAAAGAAAATGGATAGAAGGAAGGAAGGAACAGAAAGAAAGAAAGAATAGAGAGAAAAATGTGGAACGAAAAAAGGAAAGAAAGAAAGAAAGAAAGAAAGAAAGAAAGAAAGAAAGAAAGAAAGAAAGAAAGAAAGAAAGAAAGAAAGAGAAAGCTAGAGAGAGAGATGTTGGTATTGTTTTGTTATATTTTTTTATTTAATATTAACAAATATTTCTATCCCACCCTTTCCTTTCCATGCCTTAGAAATACTCATTTAAAGTTACAACATATTTCAATTGTACTTTTATAGTTTTATTTATAAATACAGTAAAAGTTGCACAGAATTAAGTTAAAGCAAATTATTGGGTCCTTGGTAAAAACTAGTTTTATTTTCCTTGTGTAAACTGTAATTCTGCTTAATGACTGCAGTAACCCCTCCCCCCCTCTAAAAAAAAAGCAATAAAACAACTTCTGTCAAGTTTAATCTTGGTTGTTCTAGGCAAAAACTGGAATGGTAGCCAATGCACCAAAATATCACATTGAAGTACTTTGTGTAACGTGAACGGTTTTTCTTAAGATGGACATAAGGCATCATTCTCTCCTCAACTTCCTGTGCATCTAAACACACAAATACTTCAAATGTCATTTTTATTTTATTATATATAAAATATAAAATACAAAAAAAAGTGAAAAGAAAATAAGAAATTAAGGGCGGGAAGAGGGACGGGGAAAAGGGGGTGGGAAATACAAGGGGGAAGAAAAAGAAAGAAAGAAAAAGGGGTATTAACTTCCATTCCTTCCCAGCACAGCACAAGATAACACACTCCAGCTTCAAGTTTTTGCTTTTACACATTAATATATAACTAGCCATTTCTATAACACCAACTCTTTCTAATCAACAATACCAAAATCAAAGTTTCATTTTTTTCTTCACAAGCACAAATTCCAGAAGTGATATCCAAATAACAACATATTTTCCTCTTTAAAATAAACATATAAAAATAAACATATGTACAGATGGATACTATACATGCATGCAAACACAAAGACATGCACGCACACCATATCCTTAATCATAGACACAGTTTTTCTCATAATTGTCTTCGTAAACATGGTGTATTCCTTCACTCCAGTTTCTCTTGTAAATGATTTGCCTACATGGATCTCTTGGGTGACAATATTACAAAAAGAGGAGAGAAATAGGGAGCACATTTTTAGAGCATTTTGCATTTTAGGTATTTTTTACTTTGTACAAATGTATGTTTGTGTATTTTCAGGATTCTGGTTGTTGTCTTGCAAGAGAAGATTGCTGCCTTCGACAGCTGCACTTTCACTAAAAAATTCTTTGTCACAAGTAAGTATTCGAAATTATTTCTCACTGACTTCCATATTACAGGTGATCCTTGACTTACGACCACAATTGAGTTCCAAATATCTGTCGTTAAGTGAGACAGTTAAGTGAGTTTAGCTCCATTTTGCCACCTTTCTATCCACAGTTGTTAAGTAAATCACAATAGTTGTAGTTAGTAACCCGGTTAAGTGAATCTGGCTTCCCCATTGACTTTGCTTGTGAGAAGGTCGCAAAAGGGCATCAAATGACTCCAGGAGACCGTCATAAATAGGAACCAATTGCCAAGTGTCTGAATTTTGATCATGGGAAGCTGCAAAATTGTAACTGAGAAAAGTAACATGTTTCAATGCCATTGTAACTTTGACTGGTCGTTAAATTAACTGTTGCAAGTCGAGGACCACCTGTATAATATTTTTTCTGCCTCCAGAATAGTTCAGTTCAAGCAGTGGTTTAGAATTTGAGTCAATATTATTAGTGGTTTGCTTCACTGTCGTGGCAAAAAGTCGTAAAACGGGGTGTGACTCACTTAACAACTGCCCTGCTTAGCAATGGAACTTTTGGGTTCAATTCTCTGTGTCATATATATGTGGGTTATATATATTTATTTATTTATGTTCATGTAGTGCATATTGGAGGTGGAGACCCTTTGAGGGCTGTATGCAACGAAATTTCATTTTAATGTATGCCGATTAGTGTACATTTAAAGTGACAAGAAAGTTAGTCTAAGTCTAATTGTAATCATATGCTGAGGACTACCTGTATAGAATTTTCCAGAATACGGGAGCATTAAAGGCTGATGTGGGTTTTTTTTTCTGTTTTTGAAATAAATGGATATCATGTTTCTAATCAGTGTGATGCTACCATCCTCTAAGATGGTGAATTTTGGCTTGAAGGATCGTCTTTATTTTTTTATGATAATGTTGAGGTCTATTGTATCCAAAATGGGGGTTCCAAGGAGCTAAATATTCAAAAGAACAAAATATATTTGAGCACATGGCCAGAGATTGGTGCTCAGTGTCTGGACCAATTTCCTGGTTTTCCCTCCAGAAAAATGTTCTCTGAGGTGATTTTCTAGACATGGAAGCAAAATAAGGGCTTTGTGGGCACTTTGAATGGTCTGTCCTTTTTTCCCCTCCTCAGTCATCACTAATTTGGAATTGTTGCCTGTGGAAAGTATAAACTAAGATAAAGTGTGCCTCCGATTTTTACCCTAGAACAGGGTTTCCTAACCCTGACCATTTCCATCTGTATGGATTTCAACTCCCAGAATTCCACATTGGGTGAGAATTCTGGGAGTTGAAGTCCACTCACCTTCAATTCGCCAAGACTGGGAAACACTGTTCTAGAAGAGTAACCCTAGCTGCACCTTGGGTGTAGGTGTAGAGCTGTGGTGGCGCAGTGGTTAGGATGCAGTAGTGCAGCTACTTCTGCTGACTGCCAGCTGACTGCAATTTGGCAGTTCGAATCTCTCCAGGCTCCAGGTTGACTCAAGGCTTCCATCCTTTCGAGGTCGGTAAAACAAGGACTCGGATTGTTGGGGCGGCAATATGTACACTGTGTAAACTGCTTAGAGAGAGCTGTAAACGCACATATAAGAGTAAGCGCAATTGCTATTTCCTTGCCACACTTGTGAAGTGAATTTATTAAGTTAGTAACACAGTTGTGAAGGGAATCTGGCTTCCCCATTGACTTAGCTTGTTGGAAGGTCGCAGAAACTGAACACATGACCCGAGAACACTACAACCGTCATAAAACACGAACCAGTTGTCAAGCATCTGATTTTGGATCATGTGACAATGCAGTAATGGTCATAAGTGTGAAAAACTGCCATAAGTCCCTGCCGTTGTAACTTTGAACAGTCACTAAACTATCTCTATTGGAAGCTAACTCACTGCTCCCTGCCAGGAGTTCGATCTTGACTCAGCCGAAGTCGGTAAAATGAGGACCCAGATTGTTGGGATGGCAAGAGGCTGACTCTAAGCCGCTTAGAGAGGGCTGTCAAAGCACTGCGAAGTGGTGTATAAGTCTAAGGGCTATTGCTATCAAAACTATCCGAAATTCCCATTTTATTTCTGCTAGGAGAGACTCGTAGGCCGAGTGGGAAAGTAGGCTGTCCATTTAAAAACAAGAAGCGGGCCAGTCAACTTTCGCATGCTCTTTTTGACTTCTGTAGGAAGAGAGTAAGTAGCCCGGTTCAGAGGCCAAAAATCCCCCCAAATGCCAACTTTACTTCAAAGAAGCAGCAAAAAATAATAATAATCTGCTTTTTGCCCCAGAGATGTTCTGCTGCAACTCCTTCTAATAACCTTCCTGAAAAGGACCAGCTTGGCTGGCCTTGATGTATGTTTGTTTACCGATAGGCTCCCACTGCACTAAAAGATGCTGGGATCCCAAGCTTAAGGTTTTGACCTTAAAAGGAAAGCTGCAGCTAAGTATGCTCAGAATTTACTGTGGTGGGGTGGAAGGTTGGAGGGGGGGCACGAGAAAAGACATGCTTTGGATTGACTTAAGTCTCTGGGTTGCAACATTTCCGTGTGCCCTCTGTAAAACTGGAAGCAGCTTGCTTTCAAAGAGGAGAGGGGAAAAAAAACATAGGAATCCGTTTGGGATAATCTGAAAGTTACCAATAGGTGTCAGTTTCTCTCCGTAGCTGGACATGAAATGTGGTGGAAGGATCCCGTCCCGCTGATTGCAAAGGGACCTAAAAGGAGATTTTTGAAGGCGCTGGAATCAGCTGCTGGATGGTCAGCAAGGTTCGGGCGAACCCCTAGCTGTGATCTCTGGCTGGGGTCACCCACCCACCCTGGTGCTATGCTTTCCCTAAATAACTAACTCCCCCCCCCCCCCCCCCGGCCGCCCCGGTGAGTTCAGCACCGCCTTGGTGTACTCACCGATTAGCTGCCTATTTGAAGCTGCGTTTCAGCCCCAAACCGGCTGCGCGGACTCACGACCGGCGAACCCCTTGTCAACGAAAGTGCTGCCCACTTCTGCGCTTGGTGGTTTGTCACTACAGCTAGTCCTCAACTTACGACCCACAATTGAGCCCCAAATTTCCCTTGCTATAAGCAAGACAGTCCTTAAGTGAGTTTTGTCCCATTTTACGACCTTTTGTGCTACAATTGTGTACAGGTGACCCTCGACTTACAGCAGTTCACTTACTGGCCGTTCGAAGGCACTGAAAAAAGGGACATGACCTCGGTGGCGCAGTGGTTAGAATGCAGTGCTGCAAACTACTTCTGCTGACTGCTGGCTGCCTGCAATTTGGCAGATCAAATCCCACCAGGCTCAAGGTTGACTCAGCCTTCCGTCCTTCCAAGGTGGGTCAAATGAGGACCCAGATTGTTGGAAGGGCAAAATGCTGACTCTGTAAACCGCTTAGAGAGGGCTGTAAAGCATTGTAAAGCGGTATATAAATCTAAGTGCTATTGCTATTTTTCACACTTACGACCGTTGCAGCATACCCCATGGTCACGTGAATTACATTTGGATGCTTGAACAACTGATTCACATTTATGACGGTTGAAGTGTCCTGGGGTCATGTGATCTGAAACCTTCTGACAAGCAAAGCCAAGGGGACAGTCACGGTTCACTGTGTTACTAATTTAACGACTGCAGAGATTGACTTAACAACTGTGGCAAGAAAAGTCATAAATTGCAGCAAGACTCACTTAACAAATTTCTCACTTAACAACATAAATTTTGTGCTCAATTGTGGTCGTAAGTTGAGGACTACCTGTATCAAAGAAGGGAGGGCTGGCATGCTGTGGTCCATGGGGGGGGTCGTAAAGTGTCAGGCACAACAACTGAACCACAACAACAAAAATTATATACTGGAAGCTTTTTTTTTCTGTTTGATGTTGACTTAATTTTTTTTTAATGGGAAACATAGGTTGATCTTTCCCGATCTGTTCAAGCGAATGCCACTGATAGGCCCTAACACCAAACAAAAGTTATTTTTCGAATAGATTTGCCTTTGAAAATCTCAGCCTTTCAGATTAAATCTTCATTAAAGTGCCAGGTTCTTTGCATTAGCCGAGCAGATATTTACTGTAGGCTATTTGCTTGTGGGGGTGTATTTATGTACCGTATGTTATGCTTCCATTATTGAAAGCAAAAATGGCAAAGGACCTTTTTTTAAAAAAAAAATGTAATTGAAGGAGCGCTTTACGGTGGATCTGTGGTGGCTTTGTGGAATATACTTGTATTGATTGTTGTATTATATCTTGATTTATTTAAGGCCGAGTTATTTGGATGGGTTGTTGTGATAATGCAGCGAAGGCACCGAGAGTTTCCGTTGTTTTAAGTTGCTGACTGCATTTCCAAATAATTCTTCCTTCACCTCAAGATCTTTTTTTTTGCACAGCTAGCACAGTTATTTAATGCGCTTTAATGCGTCCTTTGGACTGAGTGGTACTCTTGACTTATATTGATAAGAGAGATGACCTCACCATTTTCTTCTTCTTGCCATTCGCCAAGCCTCTGAATTATTGTTTTATCAAGATGTAGCGCATTGAACACAGGTAGTCGATACAACAGATTAACAGAGTTGGAAGGGACCTTGTAGGTCATCTAGTCCAACCCCACCACCCCTGCCCAAGCAGACCCTACACCATTCTGACAGATAGCAGTTCAGTCTCTTCTTGAAAGCCTCCAGTGATGAAGCTCCCACAACTTCCAAAAGCAGCTGTTCTCACTGTCAGAAAATCCCTCCTTATTTCTAGGTTGAATCTCTCCTTGATTAGTTTCCATCCATTCTTCCTTCTCTGGCCTTCAGGTGCCTTGGAGAATAGCTTGACCCCTTCCTCCTCTCTGTGGCAGCCCCTCAAATATTGGAAGATGCTCTCCTGTCTTCCCTGGTCCTTCTCTTCCCTAGACTAGCCAGGCCCAGTTTCTGCAACCGTTCATCATACTTTTTTATCCTAATCCTCTTGGTTGCTCTTCTTTCAACATCTTTTTTATAGTGTGATGACCAAACCTGGATGCAGTACTCTAGGTGAGGTCTT